CATGCACAATGTATATTTTCTTGGACTGATATTTTTTTAAAAAGATGCTTATATTTTCACTGATGTTTAATGTTGTATTTGTTTTTTCGGCAATTTTTTTTATTGCTTATTCTCAAATTTAGGCAAGGCAGCTTTATTTATAGAGCACATTTCATACACAGAGGCAATTCAATGAACTTTATAGTTATCAGGACATGCTATGAAAGCAACATAAAAACACAAATTAAAATACACATTGATAGAATTACAGTTTATAGCTAAAGGAGAAGACAACGTTACAGCGCAGATTACAGTGGAGATGACGGATGATAAGAAACAATTCATTTAAGAAGAAGAAGAAGGAGAAGAAAATATCATTTCTATAGCGCCTCTCAAGATAAAATCACGAGGTGCTTCACAAAAACAAAAAATGTAAAAATATAAAAAAGCATTTAGAAAATGCTTAAAAATATATTAAAATGAGCAAAAAATAGACAATTGTGATTAAAAAAATGTTAAGAAACAGAGAAAGTGAACAGGAAAGAGGGAAATCAGTGGATCCTGAGGAAGGTGGAATAGGTGGGGAGAGCAGAATAAAGAGAGTGGTTGAAGAAGGTCATACAAAAGCCATCCTGAACAAGTGAGTCTTCAGCTGCCTTTTAAAGGAGACCATTGAGTCCACTGATCTCAGGCTCAGGGGGAGAGAGTTCCAGAGTCTGGGGTCCACAGCAGCAGATGATCTGTCACCTTTGGTCTTTAGCCTGGTGAGCGGAACAACCAGTAGGCTTTGATCACTGGACCTCAGGGACCTGCTGGGGGTGTAGGGACTAAGAAGATCACCAATGTAAGATGGTGCTTGTCCATGTAAGGCCCTATAGACCAGAACCAGGATCTTGAAATGAACCCTGAAGTTGACTGGCAGCCAATGAAGCTGGAGGAGAAGCGGGGTGATGTGGGTATGTTTGGAGGACTTGGTCAGAAGCCGAGCACAGGCATTCTGAACCACCTGTAGACGGTTCAGGGAGGTTCTGCTCAGACACGTGAAAAGAGAGTTACAGTAGTCTAAGCGTGAGGAGATGAAGGTGTGGAGAACTGTCTCAAGTTCAGAGCGGGACAGAATGGGACTCAGCTTAGCAATGTTCCTGAGATGGAAGAAGGAGGAGCGAATAAGAGAACTGACATGAGAATCCAGAGTGAGAGCTGGGTCAAAGGTCACGCCAAGATTCCTGACAGAAGGTTTGGTGTGAGAAGCAAATGAGCTGATGAGTACATTAAGGTTTTTTGTTTTGTTTTAAACAACACTAGGGTTGGGGCAGATCTGAGGTCACGAGGAAGCAAATTCCAAATGTGAGCAGCATAGTGACTAAATGTATCTACACCATGTTTTGTTCTGACCCGTGGTTCTACCAGCTAATTGTTTCCAAGGGATCTTAGAGACCTATTGGGTGTATATACAGGAATGAGATCGGAAATGTATTTTGGTCCCATGCCATTGAGTGATTTATAAACTAGTAGGAGCACTTTGAAATCTAATTTTGAGAACTTTTATTTCAATGCCTATTTTATATGTTGACATCTCAGCTGAACTCAATCTTTATTTATATAGCGCTTTACAGGCACGGTGGCACCAAAGTAACATAGAATAGAATAGAAGAAGAGAGAAGAAGAAGAAAATATCATTTCTATAACGCCTCTTAAGATCACGAGGTGCTTCACAAAAACAAAAAATAGAAAATATCAAAAAGAATTTAGAAAATTATTAAAAATATATTTCAAATGAGCAAAAATAGAGAGTGAAAAGGAAAGAGGGAAATCAGTGGATCCTGAGGAAGGTGGAATGGGTAGGGAGAGCAGAACAAGAAGAGGGTGATGAAGGTCACACAAAAGCCAGCTTGAACAGGTGAATAGACTATTGATCCCACAGTGGCGAAATTCGCTTGTTACAGCAGCACCAACACTGAAGAGAATAATTTGAAGAAAAATAATAACAAAATAACAAAATACATATGTACACATAGGTAGTAGTCTAGTATTATAACTTTCAACCACTAAAAACCACAAATAAAAAGAAAAAACTTGGGTTGCAGCACTAGAAGAAGAAGAAGAAAAAGAACTAGACGATCTTTCATATAGCGCCATCCATCCATTTTGATCCACTTATCCGGAGTCGGGTCGCGGGGGCAGCAGCCAAAGGCGAGAGGCCCAGACTTCCCTCTCCCCAGCCACTTGGGCCAGCTCCTCCGGGGTAATCCCAAGGTGTTCCCTGGCCAGATAAGAGACATAGTCCCTCCACCATGTCCTGGGTCTACCTTTAGGTCTCCTCCCGGTTGGACGTGCCCGGAAAACCTCACCAGGGAGGCATCCAGGAGGCATCCTGACCAGATGCCCGAGAAGAAGAAGAAGAAGAAGAAAATATAATTTCTATAGCACCTCTCAAGATAAAAATCACGAGGCGCTTAAAACAAGGCCACCTCTCGATGTCGAGGAGCAGCCGGTCTACTCCGAGCCCCTCCTGAATGACCGAGCTTCTCACCCTATCTCTAAGGGAGAGCCAAGCCACTCTTCGGAGAAAACTCATTTCGACCGTTTGTGTCCGCAATCTCGTTCTTTCGGTCACTAGCCAAAGCTCATGACCATAGGTGAGGGTAGGAACGTAGATCGACTGGTCATATAGCGCCTCTCAAGATGAAAATCCCGAGGCGCAAAAAGTCTCTGTCAGTGCATGTGAGTCTCTCCCTTTTGGAGCTGACAGAGAAGTATAAAGCAGGCTTAACTGAAGTGGAAGCCCTTACAGAGAATGGTAGCTCATTCCAGAGCTTTGCACCTGCCACAAAGAAAGCCCTGTTTCCTCCTGTCTTTAAGGATGTTCTAGGGAATGAGAGCAGGAGTAGATTATCTGATTAAAGTGTCCGTACCAGGGTATACGGCTGTACAGTGGCGGCTGGTGAAAAATATTTTTGGTGGGGCTGTGCTATTTTTTTTAAACAAACTTGTGCTTTCTGAGCTTTGTGCACAACTTCACTATTTCCTGAATTAAGCACAGCTCTTTTATTTCCTGTCTTACATCATTGGACAAACTGATTAATCCAGGTGTGTCTGACTATTGGCAAACTGCCTTGCGGACCAAGGTTGAAAAATACTGCATTAAATTGCACATAAAATAACATGACCATAAATGGTAAACAGGCAATGCAAGAGGCAAGTAACAAAAACATTTTGTTTAATTTCAACATTTGAATGAACACGAAAAATTATGAGCAGGTCACTGTTACAGTAATGGTAGTAAACACTACTTAGACAAAATGCCAGAAATTTACACTGTTAGGACTTATGGAAAGTGGAAACACTTTCATAGGAAATAATGTCATCAGTATCCTCTTACAAATGTCATATTTCCCACTTTTTGGGACAATAAAACATTTCTGGTTCTCAATTAGATGTTTTTACTTTAAATGTAAAAACATCTCATTGAGAATCAGAAATGTTTTATTGTCCCAAAAGCTGGGAAATTTGTTTGCTGCAGCAGAAGTGTAACAAGTAAAATGGAATCAGATTGATGTATGTACAAATTTACTTGAAATACACATTTACATGATTAAATATGTATAATAGGTATGTGTGTTGAAATTAGTTTTTACAGTTATTGCACATTAAACAATGTACATGTTATTAAACAAATGTCCCGGTTTGTGGGACAACCAAGGATTTCTGATTCTGATTGTCTTGTTTACAGAAATGTAATGTACAGCTTACCTCTGCACCCAGCTGCTGTTCTCCCTGTCCAAACGTCCTCCGTTTCTTTGTTGGCTGCTGCACTGATGCGCTGCATTCCTCAGTCAGAGAATGAATGGAGTCCCCAATGAGACACAAGTTCCACGTCCACCTTCTGTGGATCCCAGCCGTTTTGAATAACAAACACAGAAAGCAAAATAACGCATTAGCGTGATTGCATCCAGCTAGCCACTGCTTCCTGGTGTAATTTTGGGAGAAGCATCGTGTGTACAGTTTACCCTTCTCCTTGTACTGCTGGCTTATCTTTACGTCGGGCTGATCTGGTCCAAGCTCTTTGATATTAAGTTTTTCCACCATAGTTCTCCTCTTGAATGGATACTGGAGAAGAGACCGAACTGAATTCAGTGGCTGCTAAGATCCGGTATCCATGTTGTAGGCGCACTGGCGTCCATGTCTACGTCTGCGTCATGACCGTCATGAGTCACGACCAAACACGTGCTGGAGTCGAGACTCTCCGAGTTCTACCGAACACCAACGAAAGCCTTGGCGGTAGCTCTGTCGCCCATCATGCTTCTGAGACGTTCTGAAACAATGTCGATGCTGATTGGATACATTCCCATTCCTACCCTTTCATTTTCTTGTCAGCAACTGGACAACTGGTCCCGTCTTGTTTGGGCGATTGAAAAACAGCACACAGCCTCCACCGCTCGGCAGAGACCGGGAGAGATCGGCAGAGATCTGCATAGACCGGCAGAGACCAATATAGATATATATATATATATATATGATTTATTTTTGTTACAAAACACACAATTAACTTAGAATATGTGATTATTGTTAATTTTATTTATTTATTTTTTTAAATAAAAATTAAAAACACAGGGGAAACTGGGCGGGCGACGCCCTATCGCCCTCTACTGGCCAGCCGCCACTGCGGCTGTAACAGTCTTTAAGTAAAATAGAACCAACCCATGCAATGATTTCAATCAACAGGCAGCCAATGCAGTTCAACAAGGACAGGAGTTGCATGGTCAAACTTCCTTTCACCGACTAGGAATATGGTAGCCACATTTTGCACAAATTGCCACCTTGCCAAGGTGCCACAGCTCACCCCAAATAGGATTCAGTTGCTATAGTCAATGTGGGTTGTAAAAAAAACATGAACCACTGACTTTAAGTCATGTCGTGTTAGGGTTAATGTTCATGTCAGGGTCATTTCAGTATATTAAAATCAGTTAAAAAGCTAATATCGAGCATCTCTAGTTAGAAGATTTAAAAGATCAAGAAAATATAAAAAGGTTTGTGTGTATGTGTATGTGTGTGTGCGCATGTGCATGTGATGTGCTATTCAGATGTTATTCAGATGTTGACAAGTAAACCAGAGGGATTAGATCACTAACATGAAGGATGTATTAAAACACAAGAAGGATGGAGTCATCGTCAACACCAGCCTTGTCTGTGTCAACAGAGCTTAGACACAACAGTTTGAATACAAGATCACAATGGACCTATTCAACTCTGCTCTTGGCAGAAATATCACCTTTATCCGTCCTGCATATTTCATAATAAGTGGATTTATTGATATTCCTTATATGCAGTATTACTATGTTTTTCTTTGTTTTGTCTATATCGCTTCAGTCCTTGGAAACACAGTAGTGATGGCTGTAATCTACCTGGATCATAGCCTCAGAACTCCTAAATATGTTGCAGTTTTTAACCTTGCACTTGTGGATCTGTTAAGTAGCACTTCTCAGGTGCCGAAGGTGCTCGACATCTTTTTGTCTAACCACTTTTCCATCCCCTACATTGACTGCTTGATGTTCTTTTTTTTCTGCTATTCGTTGCTCTCACTTCAGGCTCTTAACCTGCTTGCTCTCTCCTACGACCGGGTGGTGGCTATCATGTATCCTCTGCACTATCAAAGAAAGATTACCAACAGATTTATGTTTAGTTTGATAGCTTTTTTCTGGTTATTTGCTATAGTTGCTGTCCTCACAGCAGTTGGTCTTCTCACACGACTCTCCTTCTGTAATTCAGTGGTGATTAACAGCTATTTCTGTGATCATGGTCAGATATTCAGGCTTGCATGCAATGACATGTTTCCCAGTTATGTCATTAGTTATGTGTTACCATGCCTTATTCTATGGGTTCCTCTTTTACTCATTTTATGTAGTTATCTTTGTATCGGCAATGCTTTGGCTAAAGTAGCATCAGGTAAAGAAAGAGCAAAGGCACTGAAAACCTGCACAGCTCATATTTCATTAGTGATTATGTATTTTGTCCCTTTTTTAACCACATATACTATTGGTGCACAAATACATCCCAATGCCAGGATCATAAACATGTCACTTGCTTCGGTTTTACCTCCCATGTTAAATCCAATCATTTATGTTTTACAAACGCAAGAAATCAAAAATTCAATCAAGAACATAATAGAAATTAGAAGGCAGTTTAGAATCATGGTGAACTGAGATCCGGTTTAGTTCAAAAGCAAACAGAAAATAAATAAATGTTTTGAAGCAACTGTGTGCGACAGTGTGGAGATGCTTTGTTTACTAAGATGTCAGAAAAATGTTATGTTTAAGAAAACTCAGAAGTGACAAATTGTTTTTTTTATCTAGATGAAATATATTTTAACTTAAATAAATGTATGTATGTGTATTGAAATGGAGCTGTGAAATTTTATGAACCTTTTCAAGTTTTTGGCAACATTATTCCTAGTGGGTTTTGGTAACATCTTTTTGAACATCTGACCTTATTTTATTGATGTTGTTACAGCTTTGATTCAAATAACCAGATTTCAAGGAAGACCTGTAAGGTCTTTAAATCTATTTGTAAAGCTGATTGACGCAATTTAAGTCACTGACAGAAGTGAAGTTTCCACACAACCAGGGCCACTCATTTCTCCGACTACCACCAGCAGGCTAGAAGGTTCAAATGTCTTGCCCAAGAACACAACGACAGACATGGCCAGGGCATGAGTTCAGAACAGAAACCAGTAGTTACAGGGTGAACTCCTAACTCCTGGACCATCTCAGTTGTGTAAAAATTACTGGATGACAAATTTGTAATTTGCTTGCTGTAGAGATGTTTGACCTTATTGATCGACCAATAATATTGGCCGATATTGGCATTAAAATGTAATGTTGGAAAATATCGTTATCAGTTTTTACTTCTTTAATTATCCAACTTTTACGTACAATGCACATATTGTCCATCAAACTCTTCTTCTGTATCTCCTCTTTACAGGAGCCCTGAAAGGCGACACATTTTTGTGGCATTTTTCAGCTTTTTCCCTGATTCTGAACCAAAAATACCCCCAAAAAAAGTGTTTTTTCTTTTGTAAAAATTCTAATCGTTATTTTATTATTTTTTTGCTCAACCCGAAAAGGCGCACAAACACATAAAAAATAAAAAATAAATAACCCCCCCCCCCCCCCCTAAGTTTTCTAACTATGTACTTGCTTTTAGAAATTATCCCGAGGTGACAATGGTGTTACATCCCATTTCAAACATCTGCAAAATTGCTTCTCTAGTCATTTATTCTAGTTTGACAACTCCAAGTGACATCCTATACATACATATGTCAAAAATTATTTTAGTCCTTTAATAGAATTTATGTTTTTCTATATCTTTATGTATTTATTCCAATTTTCTATTTCAACAGGGTTTGGTTCCTTAAGGGCTATTTGTCTGGAGTGTAAAAATGATAAAAGGGAATTTTTGATTTTATTTGTAAGCATCAAACTCAGCTTTCAATATTTATTTTTCTTTTATAACCAATTCACAACTGCACAATATACTTCTTGATGACTTTTTTTATAAATTATTTTAACTTTTCTATTTAATTCGTATAATTTTTTTTTATAAAACCCCATCTGCTTGCTACTTATTTTTATATTTTAATTTATATGGGATTATCTTTCAATAAAAAAGCCAAATTTAGACTAAAATGTATTTTTATCCTTTATATTCAGCTAATTACAGCTAAATGTTTATGACTGTATATTTTTAAAGGATCTAAGCCTTTTTGGGGTGAGTGGTTGGAACAATTATTGTTACACCGGGATATTTTTGCATTAATGACAATATTGGAAAATACATTTGTCCATGAACCACATTATTAAAATGCAATATAAAAAAGATAGCGGAGACGTCTTTTAACAATCAGCAAATAAACAACAAAACCTGATTTTTGTTTTTCAACTGCAGAGTAAATTAAACCATTCTCTGAACCCATATCAGTTTTTCATCATGGTATCTTTAATGAAAGGATGTGTAGTGGCTTAGTTTGAGTAAATATGGCAAGTCATTTTAACAATTATTCAATAGCCTTACCACTTTGTAAATCCCATTTAAAACAGCAGTAATATAATTTATCCAAGTCCAAATAGCATTCATACTAGTCTAAACTGAAAATAAAAAATAGCACAAGCAATTTTGCTGCTGGTCAAAATTACCTACTATTTAATGATATACCAAAATTTCGAATGGGCTGTATGTGATAATGCACCTTCTAGGGTTCTGTCATCGTCATCATCATCGTCATCGTCATCATCATCATCATCATCATCAGCATCAGCATCATCATCATCAACTTTACTTATATACTGCTTTTTCCATCGACCAGGAGATGAACCAAAGTACTGTACACGCATAAAAGAATAAATGAAAATAACAATGAATCCTGCAAGGGCCAACAGTGGTGTACATAAAACAAATAAAAGCAAGAGATAAAGCAAGAGATATAGAAAAAAACAACAGAATACAACAGCATTTAACTAAGGCTGAATTATCAAATATATCACTAAAACACATGCTGAGGGAATGCATTAGTATAAAACTGAGTCTTCAAGTCTTCATCCAACCTGAAAGGCGAGTTTAAAGGGACATTACGGACTTTGAATTTTTATGCTCGCGATTGCCCCCTCAGGCCAAAAGCGTAACGGCAGCTTCAATAGTAGGCTCGTGCGCAAGGCGCGCATGCTGTAGGTGCACACTCCTTAACGAAAATAACAGCTGAGAGTCCCGTGTTTGTGTGTGTAGCCTGGAGGACAGAGGACAGGAGAACACGCAGTTAATTAATTAAATAATTTGGTTCTGTACCTTTCTCTTCAGCACAGCCGACAAAGGTTTATCACAATCAGAAAAGGTTTATTGCCATTGTCAGTGAACAAACAATTCACAAACTAGGAACTTGCTTCGGTACTAATGTGCTACATATAACATGAATAATAAAATTAAAAATAGAATAAAGTAGAATAAAATATAATAAAACTAGCATAAATCTTTCAGCTATAAAAAGGCAGGTAATGGTAATATGGCCGATAACGTGACATTATGTCAAGTACAGAAGACGAGCATGGTTGTGTGTTTATAAGCTGTTGACAAGTCTGACGGCAGATGGAAAGAAGCTGTTCTTATGGCGGGAGGTTCTGGTCCGGATGAACCGTAACCTCCTGCCTGAGGGAAGCGTCTCAAAAAGTCTGTGACCCGGGTGAGAAGGGTCAGCTGCTATCTGACCTGCACGCCCCCGAGTTCTGGAGACGTACAGGTCCTGGAGAGATGGAAGGCTGCAGCCAATCACCTTCTCAGCAGAGTGCACAATGTGCTGCAGTCTATTTTTGTCCCTCACTGTGGCTGCAGCATACCACACAGCGATGGAGGAGCTGAGGATGGACTCAATGATGGCCGTGTAAAACTGCACCATCAACTGGGCCGGCAGCTTGGCCTTTTTCAACTGCCGCAGAAAGTACATCCTCTGCTGGGCCTTTTTGAGCAGGGAGCTGATGGATGGCTCCCACCTAAGGCCATGTGTGATGGTGGTTCCGAGGAAGTGGAAAGAGTCCACAGTGGTGATGGGGGTGTCCGTCAGGACGAGGGGGAGAGATGTGGCTGTGACTTTCCTGAAGTCCACAATCATCTCCACTGTCTTCTGAGCATTGAGCTCCAGATTGTTGCTACTGCACCAGTACACCAGCCGTTCCACCTCCCTCCTGTAGGCGGACTCATCACCGTCAGAGATGAGCCTGATGAGGGTGGTGTCGTCCGCAAACTTGATCAGTTTAACGGAGTCATGACTCGAGGTGCAGCAGTTTGTGTACAGGGAGAAGAGCAGAGGAGAAAGTACACAGCCCTGTGGAGATCCTGTGCTAATTGTCTGAATGGTGGAAACATTCTTCCCCAGCTGCACACACTGCCTTCGGTCCGTCAGGAAGTCAGTGATCCACCTGAAGGTGGAATTGGGTACGTTGAGCATGGAGAGCTTGTCCTGGAGCAGAGCAGGGAGGATGGTATTGAACGCAGAGCTGAAGTCCACAAACAGGATCCTAGCGTAGGTTCCCGGGGAGTCCAGGTGCTGCAGGATGAAGTGGAGGGCCAGGTTGATGGCGTCGTCTACAGACCTATTGGCTCTGTATGTGAACTGCAGAGGGTCCAGGTGGGGGGAGGTGAAGGACTTGAGATGAGGGAGGACCAGGCGCTCAAAAGACTTCATGACTACAGACGTCAGCGCCACAGGCCTGTAATCATTCAGTTCAGTGACACTGGGTTTCTTAGGGACAGGAACAATGGTGGACAGCTTAAAGCAGGCTGGAACATAGCAGATCTCCAAGGAGATGGTAAAGATGTCCGTGAAGATTGGAGACAGTACCTCTGCGCAGTGTCTCAGGGTTGCGGGGGAGACACCGTCGGGGCCCGGGGATTTCCGTGGGTTTTGCTTACGGAAAACCCTAAGCACATCCACTTCTGTTACTGAGAAGGCAGTGGAGGGGGAGGGGTAGTCAGTGGGGACTGTACTATTCACAGTGGTGAAGGTGGTGGGGGAGGCATGTGACACCAGAGTGGCTGAAGAAACCTGTGCAGTAGGGGGTGTGGGGGATGGGTGTTGCACTTCAAACCTTGCATAAAAGGAGTTGAGTTGTTCAGCCAGTTGTCGGTCATCAGCAGCATGTTGGGCTCTAGGCTTATAGTTGGTGATTTTCCTGAGCCCTCTCCAGACAGAGGCGGTGTCATTGTTAGAGAACTGCTCCTTTAGTCGCTTGTTGTACCGAGATCTCGCCTTCTTCAACTCTTTTGAGAACCGGTACTTAGCGCCCTTGTAGCTTTCTCTGTCCTTGGCTCTGTGGGCTGCTTCTTTCTCCCTCCTCAGCTGTCTCAGTTTGGGTGTGAACCAGGGCTTATCGTTGTTAAAAGTGACCCTGGTTTTTGTTGGAATAATGCTGTCCTCACAGAATTTTATGTATGACGTCACAGTGTCTGTATATTCATCCAAGTTGTCTGTGGCAGATCCAAACACGTTCCAGTCTGTTGTGTCCAGACACATGCGAAGCTCCTCCACAGCCTCGCAGGTCCACTTCTTAGAAGTCCTCACTGCAGGCTTGGAGAGCTTCAGCCTCTGCCTATATAAGGGGATGAGGTGAATCATGGCGTGGTCTGAGAAGCCGAGAGCAGCTCGCTGCACGGCTCGATAAGCTCCACTGACTGTAGTGTAGCAGTGGTCCAGCGTGTTCTACTCTCTTGTCGGGCATTTAACAAACTGTTTATATTTAGGCAATTCCTGGCTCAGATTTGCCTTGTTAAAGTCGCCGAGGATAATAACTAGAGAGTTCGGAAAGGTCTGTTCCACACTTAAGATCTGCTCCGCAAGCGCACGTTGAGCCTCGTGTACGTCCGCGTTCGGTGGGATGTAAACAGCAGCCAGAATGAATGAAGCGAACTCATGTGGGGAGTAGAATGGCTTACAGTTTATGAAGAGGAATTCCAGGGCAGGAGAACAGTGCTGGGAAATCACAGTCACATCCGAACACCAGGCATTGTTGATGTAGAAGCAGACACCTCCACCTTTTGTCTTTCCTCCGGATAAGACCCGCTGTCTGTCTGCGCGGAGGAGCTGGAATCCCTCCAAATGGAGCGCGCAGTCCGGGATCTGCTCGTTGAGCCATGTCTCCGTGAAGCATAAGACAGAAGAGGAAGAAACGTCTCTGTTCCATCTCATCAGCAACGCCAGTTCATCCGTCTTGTTACTGAGTGAGCGGACATTGGAGAGGAAGATCCCAGGTAAAGGCGTACATGAGCCGCGTCTTCGTAGACGCACGAGCACTCCCGCACATTTTCTTTTCCTACGGCGTCTCACTTTCTTAATAAAAACGTGGACCAAATCCGCCACACCCTACTAAAAAAAAACTGGAAGTAGGTCCGTCGGCATTGATGTTCTAACGTTTAGAAGCTCTTCACGGGTGTAAGAGCACGCTGACACACAATTTACAGACAAAAACAAACAAAACACGCTGCACGTTAGCACCAGGGCGACCATCCTCGGCACCATCTTAGTATTTCAATGATGGGTAAGTCCTCCTGCATGCTCAGATCATTCCCTTCCCTTGCTTGAAAAATTGTTCCAAAATTAAAGTTGAACCCACATCTTTTTTATCTGTGAATTCAATGCCGTTCGGCGAGTCTCAAATAAAAATTTGGGCATCTTACTGAAAGAAAATGTCCCATTAATGTAAAAAAGAAACTCCAAATGAACTATGTTCATACCCGGAATCAAACCCAGGTCTTCTGTATGGGAGTCAGACATCTTACAAGGTGAGCAACACTCTAGTAAAATTCACAGTATCTGTAACTTTTATATCCTTGATAACACCTGAAACAATGTCAAACCAAAGAATGGTTTGAAGCAAAAATGGCTATTTTGTTGCTAATTTGCAGGAAATATCTAGAAGAAAGTTCTACAGAAAGTAGCTAAGGTCCTCAGAAATGTAGCTAGGTTTGTCACTAGGCATTAGGAACAGCAACAAAGTCGCTGAGTTGGCACTGCCCCTCTCTCTGCTGCTAAATCTACGGATAGCAAATGCTACGGGCTATGCCTGAGCATGAAAGCGCATGAAGCAGCCTGCTCGACCCGAGTAACTCTCTTTTTCTGTGATTTTACAGAAAAACAGGCAATCACAGTAAAAATGCCTGGGCTCATTCTACAGGACCAGGGCATTGCAGGAGAATGTATGAAGAAGAAATTTACTATTTCTATACATGTTTTGGCTGTCAAACTTCCATAATGCCCCTTTAAACAGTCATTCATCCACAAGCATGCGCACGCACACACACACACACACACACACACACACACACACACACACACACACACACACACCTGTACATTGCATGGACTGGAAATCCCAAGGTCAAAGTGGGAAACACCCCTAAGATGGTAGAGAACGAGCAAACCAAGTTCCTGTGGGAGTTCTAGATCCAGACCAACAAAATGGTTATGGCAAACCAATTGGACATTGTGGTGATGGACATACAACAGAGGACAACCATTGTGGTTGATGTAGCAAAACCAAGTGATGGCAACATCAGGAAAAAATAACACGAGAAACAAGAGAAATACCAGGGCCTCAAAGAAAAACTTGAGAAAGCCTGGAGAGTGGACACACCGGTGATGCCCATGGTCATTGAGGCACTCGGGGCAGTAACCCCCAAACTGGAAGAGTGACTAAAGCAGATCCCAGGAAAAACATCAGACATCTCTGTCCACAAACGTGCACCTCTAGGAAAAGCTAAGATACTGCACAGACCCTCAAGCTCCTAGGCCTCTGGTAGAGGACCCAAACTTGGAAGGACGAGATCACCTGTGGAGGGTAAGATGGGAATGTTTTTTTATATATGTATATGATATTAACATTATCACAAAATGTAAAAAATGGAAATCTTATCGGAAAATGCAGGTCAAGAAGCTTCCTGGACACCTCCTTGGTGAGGTTTTCCAGACACGTCCAACTGGGAGGAGACCCAAGGGAAGATCCAGGACACGCTGGAGGGACTATTTTTCTAAGATGCCCAGGAAAAGCCTTGGGATGCCCCTGGAGAAGCAGACCCAGTTGCTGGGTAGAGGGAATTCTAGGCCTCTCTGCTTAAGCTGCTGCCCCTGCAAGCTAACCTCGGAAAATCGAATGATAATGGGTGGATGGAGTTTTTATCTCTAATGTTGACCCGAGGGATTAGATCCCAGCATTAGGTATAAGTGTCAACGACATATAATGCAGCATAGCAAACAAGTAATCTGCAGCACAAATAAGTGGATTGATTGTCATTCCTTATGAAGTACTACTATGTTTTTCTTTGTTTTGTCTGTATAGAGCTCCGGGAGTTGACGTCACTTCTCCCGGCATGCAACAGTTCAAATCGAAACGGCACCATATTGGCAGGCAGAAGCCCGCAGCTGGACTATTTGTTATTGTCAGAAAACTCAATCAGACGGGAAATATGGTAGATTCCTGTTGTGACCCAGGATGCAGAACAGACGAGGACGACATAAGGAATGAGCTATCTACAGGATTCCCCAAGATCCGGAGCACCGCAAACGTTGGATCATTGTAATAAAACACACTAGTGACCGGGCTAAAATGAAAATGTGGGACCCCGAGAGTAGTTTTCGCTTATGAAGCGACCACTTCATATCAGGTACTTAAACCAACGTTTCCTCAACTGTGTATGGTATTTATTTTAAATGCTTTTATTACAATTCTTAGTGGGCTTCTTAAACTTATTTTGGCGTGGCTTTTTCTGTCTTATTACTCATAGCAGCAAGTAAACATCACGTAAAACGTTGCCTCGTGAGTTCTGCATACTGCCGTTTACGTGTTTTATGATCACAGCAATTAACCGGCTAAGCTGTATTTCATTTTAAGCAATGGTTGATCAATTGTCAGATCACATATAAAAAGCACTTTGGATTGCAATTATCTGTCTCACCAAGACAGATCTCAGACAGATCCTGAGACGCTCCTGCCTGACTTTTTTTTTTCACGGAAAAAAATCAGACTGGTGATTTCTCTTGGCGTTCAGTTGTACATTCAAACAGCACAGCACTCTATTTAAACTACTTACGTGTAAATCTGTTATTTGTCCATCCATCCATCCATTTTCATCTGCTTATCTGGAGTCGGGTTGCGGGGGCAGTAGCGTCGAGAGGCCCAGACTTCCCTCTTCCCAGCCACTTGGGCCAGCTCCTCCGGGGGAATCCCAAGGGGTTCCCCGGCCAGGTCCGGTAAGAAGTCCGCTCCAACAGCTTCTGGCGTCGGAGCGGGCAGTAGCGTCGAGAGGCCCAGACTTCCCTCTCCCCAGCCACTTGGGCCAGCTCCTACGGGGGAATCCCAAGGGGTTCCCCGGCCAGGTCCGGAAAGAAGTCCGCTCCGATAGCTTCTGGCGTTTTTAAAAAGTATCCCAGGGGCACGGTAAGGGTCGGAGATGTTTAGTCTATTTAATTTCTGACTATAGAAAACGATTTCTTTGGTTTTAAAGTGTGAAGTAAACTCCAACGAAGTAAAATCCAAGCCGATCCCGTTCAATTTGTTTACATTTGTTGCCTGCCAACATGGCGTCTACTCTCTGAGAATCACTTGACGTCCGGAGCTCTATTGCTTTGGAAACACAGTAGTGATGGTTCTGATCTACCTGGATCATAGCCTCAGAACTCCTAAATATATTGTGATTTTTAATCTAACTTTTGTAGACCTGTTAGAAAACACTGTTCTTGTCACGTTCAGAACTTGGAAGACCTGTGATGACACCAAACACAGTAAAAAGTTAAATAAAAAGTCTTTATTAGATGTGACGTTACGGAAGAGGGCGAGGCAGGAGACAGAGTAGCAGAGGAGGCGTGGGTCAAAACCAGATCGGACAAGCAGGTACAGGGAAAAGGCTGGAGACGAGGTAGCAGACAGGCGAGGGTCGTGGTGGCAGGCAGAGTTCAAGGCAGGGGTCAGGAGTGAAAATGAGGTCCAGAGGCTGAGATCAGGCAAGGTGAAAGGCTGGAATATTTAGTGGCAAAGAGCGTTCACAAATCTGGCACTGGATGGAGAGCAGGCTGGGGGTTAAATAGCAGGGGGAGCAGGTGCTGATGAGCTGATGACAGGAACAGGTGAGATGAATGAAGTTGATGAGGTGCAGGCTGAGGTTGCTAAGGAAACAGGTCATGGCAGCAGAAGTAGAGGAGGGTGAAAGACAGGGAGTCATGACAGTTCTGGTGCCGAAAGTGATTTAATGTGACTACGAGACAAGCACCCCATTTTTCTCATTGTGGCCTTACTCAATAAACCACTGAAAGATGCATGTGTGTGTGTGTGTGTGTGTGTGTGTGTGTGTGTGTGTGTGTGTGTGTGTGTGTGTGTGTGTGTGTGTGTGTGTGTGTGCTTTGTCTGATGGATTAAATGAACAAATGCCAGATTTTCCACAATTTTCTAATGTTGTCTAAAGAAAGTATTACGAAATGAAAAGAGAAAAAAACAGATAAACATGTACGTTTCATGTTAGTCTGACTTAGGCATATCAAGATAGTGTAATTGTATGTTACTTTTTTATGATGTTAGCCGAAAGACAGACGGGAATACACCACAAACAACATAGAGGTATAAAAAAACACCTAAAGCTCTTGAGACCAGAACAAACTGAAAGAGAAGGACAAAGAGTAAATAAAAGAAGACGCTACAGGGCTAGCATTTGCAGTACTGCTGTCAGTACTCATAGAGGGTTGACACAATAACAGGTAATCAACATATTCATGGACTTTTTCAACTCTGCTCTTGGACGAAATATCACCTTTATTCGTCCTGCATATTTCATAATCAGTGGATTTGTTGGCATTCCTTACACAGAGTACTACTATGTTTTTCTCTGTTTTGTCTATATTGCTTCAGTCCTTGGAAACACAGTAGTGATGGTCCTGATCTACCTGGATCATAACCTCAGAACTCCTAAATATATTGCAGTTTTTAACCTTGCTTTTGTAGACCTGTTAGGAAACACTGTTCTGGTGCCAAAGGTGATTGATATCTTTTTATTTAATCACCTCCTCATCCCTTACATTGACTGTTTGATTTTTTGTTTTTTCTGCTACACCTGCCTTTCAATGCAGTCTCTAAACCTGGTTGCTCTGTCCTACGACCGGATGGTGGCTATCATGTTTCCTCTGCACTATCAGACAAAGGTTACACACAGATTTATGTTTAGTTTGATTGCCTTTTTCTGGCTGTTTGCTATAATAGCTCTCCTGATTGCTGTTGGTCTTCTCACCAGACTCTCCTTCTGTGATTCAGTTGTAATTAACAGCTATTTCTGTGATCATGGTCAAATCTTTGGTCTGGCATGCAATGATAATTTTCCCAGTGACGTTATTAGTTTTTTGTTGCCAGTTCTTATTATTTGGATTCCTCTATTAGTCATCTTATCAAGTTACATTTGTATCGGCTATGCTTTGTCTAAAATAACATCAGGTCAAGAAAGGGCAAAGGCACTGAAAACCTGCTCAGCTCACATTTCATTGGTGGCAATCTTTTTCACCCCCATTTTAATCACATTTACTATTGGTCCACAAATACATCCTAATGCTAGGATAATAAACTTGTCTCTGACTTCTGTTTTTCCTCCCATGTTGAATCCAATTATTTATGTTTTACAAACACAAGAAATCAAAAATTCAATGAAGAAATTGTTAGAAATGAGGAGAAAATCCAGAATCATGGTAAAGTGAGATCTAAATGAAGTAACAAGGAGAAATTGAGACGCACTGATGTTTAGCAGATAAAGAACATGTGTGTTTTTCAGAAGTCACAAATTGGGTGTGGACATTCAGTGAAGAAAGAATTAAAAAAAGTCAAAACATTTTTCATTGTATTGATTTTTTTTTTATTACACAGAACTGTGAGACTGACATTTCAAAGAAGACATTGAAGGCCTTTAAAGTGTGTTTAGCCGATTGCCTTAAATAATTCATGCCACTAAAAGTCATTTTGGATCATCTTTTATTTTTGCTTTTTATGTGTGTGTTGTATGCTTATGCGTGTTTATGTATTTAGCAGACGCTTTTGTCCAAAGCGACTTACAAGTGATAATCGGCATGTTGCCCTTGAGGCTAACAACAACAATAACAACAACTTGCCATCAATCATGGAGAGGAGGGAACAAAGGAGTGGACGGTAGAGAGGGGGGTGGGTGCAGGGAAGGTGCTAGTTAAGAAGATGCTCTCTGAAGAGCAGGGTCCTCAGGAGTTTCTTGAAAATTGAAAAGGAAGCCCCTGTTCTGGTAGTGCTTGGAAGGTTAGCAATTTGAATTTGATGCGTGAAGCTAGCGGTAGCCAGTGGAGCTCAATGAACAGAGGAGTGACGTGTGCTCTTTTTGGCTGGTGTTTTATGTCTGTGTTATTTTTTCAGATGAAAAAGTTTAAACATGATCCTTTTTAAGTTTGTGTACTGGATTAATATAGCTTAGCAACATTATAAATGTGCATGTTACTTGCCATTTATTGCAATGTTGTTTTTGATTTGCTTTAAAGTGAAAACTGTTTGTGCTCTCAACAAAACTTCTTATGGAGAAAATGCTGGAGTCGTCCTATCACTATGTCAGAGGATTTGACACCATTGCTATCCCTCTTCTGACAAGGGTCAGCATTTCAGATGGACTGAAACCAGTGCCACGGCCTTCACATAACCCTTATCACGATGGAAAATTATGCTAGCAGTGTAGTAGTTGTGTTGTACTGTTGCAGTTGGAGTGCAATGACTTTCTCCTTTACAATGACCATGTCTCCCTTACCTATTTTCTAAATATTAAATATCCAATAGACCACACTTCCTCAAGTTTGAATTTTGCTTTCACTGTGTCACTGGCAAGTCACACAGCAGGATTTAAAACATTACAGTACTAAATATGGGCGAGTGCCCGGCACCCCCACTCCCACCATACAGACAGCTTTCACCATGCCTTATGATAAAGAACTGAGGATATGAGGAGATCAATTTTCTTTACTTTCTGAGCATGCACAATGTATATTTTCTTGGACTGATATTTTTTTAAAAGATGCTTATATTGGTCACCAGTCGCATCGATTACTGTAATGCCCTCCTCTCTGGTCTCCCTTTAAAATCATTCAACAAGTTACAGTTAGTCCAAAATTCAGCTGCCCGGATAATCACCAAGACCTCCACTTTTGATCACATTACCCCTGTCCTGCAACAACTTCACTGGCTCCCTGTCAGATACAGAATTAACTACAAGATACTTCTTCATGCCTTTAAAGCCATCCATAATCTCGCTCCCCCATATCTTTCTGATCTCCTCCACATTGTCACTCCCACTCGCTCTCTCCGATCATCAACTTCACCTTCCCTGTCTGTTCCTCGCACTCGTCTTAGTACTATGGGAGCCAGAGCTTTCAGCCACTCAGCTCCGAAACTCTGGAACACTCTACCGCCTGACCTCCGCAATATAAACTCCTTCTCAACCTTCAAGTCTCACCTCAAAACTCACATGTTCCGCCTGGCTTACTCACTGTAACTGTCCTCCTTCCATCTACTCTTTTTAGTCTATTATCCATCACACTGCTCCGACTCTACCTTTGGGAATTACTTTTAGCAATTATTTCTTGTTGTTGTATTGCTTGCTTGTTATATTTTGTCCTGTACAGTGACCTTGAGAGTTTTGAAAGGCGCTTGAAATAAAATTTATTATTATTATTATTATATTTTCACTGATGTATGATGTTGTATTTGTTTTTTCGGCAATTTTTTTATTGCTTATTCTCAAATTTAGGCAAGGCAGCTTTATTTATAGAGCACATTTCATACACAGAGGCAATTCAATGAGCTGTATAGTTATCAGGACATGCTATGAAAGCAACATAAAAACACAAATTAAAATACACATAAATAGAATTACAGTTTATAGCTAAAGGAGAAGACAACATTACAGCGCAGATTACAGTGGAGATGACGGATGATAAGAAACAATTCATTTAAGAAGAAGAAGGAGAAGAAAATATCATTTCTATGGCGCCTCTCAAGATAAAATCACGAGGTGCTTCACAAAAACAAAAAATGTAAAAGTATAAAAAAGCATTTAGAAAATGTTTAAAAATATATTAAAATGAGCAAAAAATAGACAATTGTGATTAAAAAAATGTTAAGAAAGAGAGAAAGTGAACAGGAAAGAGGGAAATCAGTGGATCCTGAGGAAGGTGGAATAGGTGGGGAGAGCAGAATAAAGAGAGTGGTTGAAGAAGGTCATACAACGGCCATCCTGAACAAGTGAGTCTTCAGCTGCTTTTTAAAGGAGACCACTGAGTCCACTGATCTCAGGCTCAGGGGGAGAGAGTTCCAGAGTCTGGGGGCCACAGCAGCAAATGATCTGTCACCTTTGGTCTTTAGCCTGGTGAGCGGAACAACCAGTAGGCTTTGATCACTGGACCTCAGGGACCTGCTGGGGGTGTAGGGACTAAGAAGATCACCAATGTAAGATGGTGCTTGTCCATGTAAGGCCCTATAGACCAGAACCAGGATCTTGAAATGAACCCTGAAGTTGACTGGCAGCCAGTGAAGCTGGAGGAGAAGCGGGGTGATGTGGGTGTGTTTGGAGGACTTGGTCAGAAGCTGAGCACAGGCATTCTGAACCACCTGTAGACGGTTCAGGGAGGTTCTGCTCAGACACGTGAAAAGAGAGTTACAGTAGTCTAAGCGTGAGGAGATGAAGGTGTGGATAACTGTCTCAAGTTCAGAGCGGGACAGAATGGGACTCAGCTTTGCAATGTTCCTGAGATGGAAGAAGGAAGAGCGAACAAGAGAACTGACATGAGAATCCAGGGTGAGAGCTGGGTCAAAGGTCACGCCAAGATTCCTGACAGAAGGTTTGGTGTGAGAAGGAAATGAGCTGATGAGTACATTAAGGTTTTTTGTTTTGTTTTAAGCAACACTAGGGTTGGGTCAGATCTGAGGTCATGAGGAAACTAATTCCAAATGTGGGCAGCATAGTGACTAAATGTATCTACACCATGTTTTGTTCTGACCCGTGGTTCTACCAGCTAATTGTTTCCAAGGGATCTTAGAGCCCTATTGGGTGTATATACAGGAATGAGATCGGACATGTATTTTGGTCCCATGCCATTGAGTGATTTATAAACTAGTAGGAGCACTTTGAAATCTAATTTTGAGAAATTTTATTTCAATGCCTATTTTATATTTTGACATCTCAGCTGAACTCAATCTTTATTTATATAGCGCTTTACAGGCACGGTGGCACCAAAGTAACATAGAATAGAATAGAAGAAGAGAGAAGAAGAAAATATCATTTCTATAACGCCTCTTAAGATCACGAGGTGCTTCACAAAAACAAAAAATAGAAAATATCAAAAATAATTTAGAAAATTATTAAAAATATATTTTAAATGAGCAAAAATAGACAATCGTGATTAAAAAATGTAAAGAAAGAGAGAGAGAGTGAAAAGGAAAGAGGGAAATCAGTGGATCCTGAGGAAGGTGGAATGGGTAGGGAGAGCAGAACAAGAAGAGGGGGATGAAGGTCACACAAACGCCAGCTTGAACAGGTGAATAGACTATTGATCCAACAGTGGCGAAATTCGCTTGTTACAGCAGCACCAACACTTAAGAGAATAATTTGAAGAAAAATAATAACAAGATACATATGTACACATAGGCAGTAGTCTGGTATAACTTTCAACCACTAAAAACCAAAAAAAAAAGAAAAGAAAAAACTTGGGTTCCAGCACTACAAGAAGAAGAAAAAGAAGTAGAAGATTTTTCATATAACGCCATCCATCCATCCATCCATCCATCCATTTTGATCCGCTTATCCGGAGTCGGGTCGCGGGGGCAGCAGCCAAAGGCGAGAGGCCCAGACTTCCCTCTCCCCAGCCACTTGGGCCAGCTCCTCCGAGGTAATCCCAAGGTGTTCCCTGGCCAGATAAGAGACATAGTCCCTCCACCATGTCCTGGGTCTACCTTTAGGTCTCCTCCCGGTTGGACGTGCCCGGAAAACCTCACCAGGGAGGCATCCAGGAGGCATCCTGACCAGATGCCCGAGCCACCTCAACTGACTCCTCTCGATGTCGAGGAGCAGCAGGTCTACTCCGAGCCCCTCCCGAATGACCGAGCTTCTCACCCTATCTCTAAGGGAGAGCCCAGCCAATCTTCGGAGAAAACTCATTTCGACCGCTTGTGTCAGCGATCTCGTTCTTTCGGTCACTAGCCAAAGCTCATGACCATAGGTGAGGGTATTATCTGAGGGTAAGATTATCTGAGCAAAGTGTCCGTACCAGGGTATACGGCTGTAACAGTATTTAAATAAAATAGAACCAACCCATGCAATGATTTAAGTCAACAGGCAGCCAATGCAGTTCAACAAGGACAGGAGTAGCATGGTCAAACTTCCTTTCACCGACTAGGAATATGGTAGCTGCATTTTGCACAAATTGCCACCTTGCCAAGGTGCCACGGCTCACCCCAAATAGGATTCAGTTGCTATAGTCAATGCGGGTTGTAAAAACACGATGAACCACTGCCTTTAAGTCATGTCGTGTTAGGGTTAAGGTTCATGTCAGGGTCATTTCGGTATATTAAAATTGGTTAAAAAGCTAATATCGAGCATCTCTAGTTAGAAGATTTAAAAGATCATGAAAATATAAAAAGATTTGTGTGTTTGTGTGTGTGCGCATGTGCATGTGATACTTGCAGTTCTGAAATGGCCTAATTTCTGTTAAAATAACCTCAATAATTCAACAAATAAAGATGGCTCAGCCACACTGTGTTCTAGGTATCTTTGATTTTATTTTGCTTGTTTTCCACTTTTCTGCAGTGTGATGACAATAAAAAAATAAAACAAAAGCAACACAATGACATAGTCTCATTATATCCAATAAATTAAAAATAACTTAAGTGTTATTCAGATGTTGACAAGTAAACCAGAGGGATTAGATCACTAACATGAAGGATGTATTAAAACACAAGAAGGATGGAGTCATCGTCAACACCAGCCTTGTCTGTGTCAACAGAGCTTAGACACAACAGGTTGACTACAAGATCACAATGGACCTATTCAACTCTGCTCTTGGCAGAAATATCACCTTTATCCGTCCTGCATATTTCATAATAAGTGGATTTATTGATATTCCTTATATGCAGTATTACTATGTTTTTCTTTGTTTTGTCTATATCGCTTCAGTCCTTGGAAACACAGCAGTGATGGTTGTAATCTACCTGGATCATAGCCTCAGAACTCCTAAATATGTTGCAGTTTTTAACCTTGCACTTGTGGATCTGTTAAGTAGCACTTCTCAGGTGCCGAAGGTGCTCGACATCTTTTTGTTTAACCACTTTTCCATCCCCTATATTGACTGCTTGATGTTCTTTTTTTTCTGCTATTCGTTGCTCTCACTTCAGGCTCTTAACCTGCTTGCTCTCTCCTACGACCGGGTGGTGGCTATCATGTATCCTCTGCACTATCAAAGAAAGATTACCAACAGATTTATGTTTAGTCTGATAGCTTTTTTCTGGTTATTTGCTATAGTTGCTATTCTCACAGCAGTTGGTCTTCTCACACGACTCTCCTTCTGTAATTCAGTGGTGATTAACAGCTATTTCTGTGATCATGGTCAGATATACAGGCTTGCATGCAATGACACTTTTCCCAGTTATGTCATTGGTTATGTGTTACCATGCCTTATTCTATGGGTTCCTCTTTTACTCATTTTATGTAGTTATCTTTGTATCGGCTATGCTTTGGCTAAAGTAGCATCAGGTAAAGAAAGAGCAAAGGCACTGAAAACCTGCACAGCTCACATTTCATTAGTGATTATGTATTTTGTCCCTTTTTTAACCACATATACTATTGGTGCACAAATACATCCCAATGCCAGGATCATAAACATGTCACTTGCTTCGGTTTTACCTCCCATGTTAAATCCAATCATTTATGTTTTACAAACACAAGAAATCAAAAATTCATTGAAGAAAATAATAGAAATTAGAAGGCAGTTTAGAATCATGGTGAACTGAGGTCCGGTTTAGTTCAAAAGCAAACAGAAAATACTACTGTAAATGCTTTGAAGCAACTGTGTGAGAGGGTGTGGAGATGCTTTGTTTACTAAGATGTCAGAAAAATGTTATGTTTAAGAAAACTCAGAAGTGACAAATTGTTTTTTTTATCTAGATGAAATATATTTTAACTTAAATAAATGTATGTATGTGTATTGAAATGGAGCTGTGAAATTTTATGAACCTTTTCAAGTTTTTGGCAACATTATTCTTAGTGGGTTTTGGTAACATCTTTTTGAGCATCTGACCTTATTTTATTGATGTTGTTACAGCTTTGATTCAAATAACCAGATTTCAAGGAAGACCTGTACAGTCTTTAAATCTATTTGTAAAGCTGATTGACGCAATTTAAGTCACTGACAGAAGTGAAGCTTCCACACAACCAGGGCCACCCATTTCTCCGACTACCACCAGCAGGCTAGAAGGTTCAAATGTCTTGCCCAAGAACACAACGACATACATGGCCATGCAGGGCCAGATTAACACTTTGTTGTACCCTGGGCAACAATATTCAAGGGCCCCATCATCACGACCCAAGGATCACCATAATATGGTCACATACAGAATATTTTACTGTACTATGCGGTAAATATACTCAATACTTGAATGCCTGATATCACGTAACCCACTCAGGGTAATCTTTGACCTACCTCTTGTGGACTGACCAATGAGGAGAGGGTCTTAACTTGAGGCCCTCTCTTCATTGGTCAGTCTGCATGAGACTGACTCTCAACTGACGTTAAAAGTCATAGGCAGCGAAGCGTCTCTGTGCAGCGCAAAAGCTCGGGTGGACAGTTTGTTTAATGTAGGGTGACCAAATTTCCATTTCCAAAAAAGAGGACAGGGGATCTGTGCCTATGATGTCATATGGCAACGCCACACAAACCACGTTGGGACCCATTTTTTGTAAGAACTAAATTAATATCAGATTCTGCCAATAAAAGGGCTCCAAAACAATTCATATGCAAATATTTAGCATATGTACTGCAAAATCTAATGTTTCTGCTTTAGTGCTGCAACAAGGTTTTAATAATAATAAATTATTATACATTTTGTTTTACTACTACATCGGTAAGCTTCCTGTGCACAGATTATTAAGGATGCTTGTTTCAGCTGTGAGATTAGACGACAGGGTCAATGAAAAAATAAGTTGTCACACACTCCATGGAAACTTTCAGAGAATCCACAAATAGTGGCTTTCAGATGGTTTTGTTACTTTTTGCAAGTTTAGAAAAGCAGCAGATGAGACAGCATGTGTGAAAAGTTAGTTTTTCGTCTGATAATATTAGAACATGTCAGTAATGTCTGAGGGGCTTTTATAAACACTGTATAACTAATACTCCTGGACAGGGTATGAATTACACAGAGGCTTCTGGGGAGCCCAGTTATTGGGGGGGTGGAGGGGTTCATTTAGCCTTGGACCCCAGAATGTCTTGAAACAGCCCTGGGTGTGTGACTGAGTTTTGAAGGTGATCTGAGTTGTATCAGATGTATAAATATTACATGTGTATAACTTATTGTTTTATACCGGTAAAAACATGTAGTGGAGATAAATCTACCTACATTTTACTTTGTTTTCTTGTTTTTATTGAACTATTTTCCTGTTCTGTCTGTCTCTCATCTTCTTGCATCTCCTCTAAACTCTCCAGAAAAACTGCTGCCTGGATTCTTATTTTTTCACCTCATCAGTTACTTTTGAGCAGATCAAAGGGATCTCCTGACTACAAAGCGGAGAGCGCGTTTCGATGCTGCGTCTGTGAGGTGAAATCACCGCAGCACAGGTGATGAGCTCCACAGTAGCAGAGCGCTTCAGGCACAAATAAGACAGAAATTAGAGAACATGTGCGGACATGAACGATCGTGTGTTAATTATAGTTTTTGGTTGCGCCACTTTGAGAATGGGCCATGCGCTGGAAGCAGCAGCCTGGAGAGCTGCGCAACAACGCGCTGTGCCGCTCTCTGTGCTCTCTGCTCAAGAGTCCATGAATGATGTAATATAGGTGGAAAACTTTTTCCGGCTCCCCTGGATGTGTAGGATATACAGCTCCTCCCTAATTCGATCCCTGCTCCTGGATGAAAAGCCGGACATTTTCATCAATACAAGAACCCCCAGTCCGGACGCCCCGGACAGAGAGTGAAAAGTGGACATGTCCGGGGGAAACAGGACGGTCACCCTAGTTTAATATAAAGCAGGAGATTACAGTTACAGTATTTTGCTCGTGCCCTTGCTGCCCTGGGCCCTGTAGAGTTCGTGGGCCCAGGGCAATTGCCCAGTTGCCCATATGGTTAATCCGGCCTTGTGGCCAGGGCATGAGTTCAGAACAGAAACCAGTAGTTACAGGGTGAACTCCTAACTCCTGGACCATCTCAGTTGTGTAAAAATTACTGGATGATAAATTTGTAATTTGCTTGCTGTAGGGATGTCTGACCTTATTGATCGACCAATAATATCGGCCGATATTGGCATTAGAATGTAATATTGGAAAATATCGGTATCAGTTTTGCTTCTTTAATTACCCAACTTTTACATACAATGCACATATTGTCCATCAAACTCTTCTTCTGTATCTCCTCTTTACGGAAGCCCTGAAAGGCGACAAATTTTTTTGTGGAATTTTTCAGCTTTTTCCCTGCTGCTGAACCAAAAATCACCAAAAAAGTGTTTTTTCTTTGTAAAAATTCTAATCGTTACTTTATCATTTTTTTTGCTCAACCCGAAAAGGCAAACAAACACAAAAATAACAAAAAATAAATATAAGAAAATACTTTTTTTCCCTCTTGTAAGTTTTCTAACTATGTACTTGCTTTTAGAAATTATCCCGAGGTGACACTGGTGTTACATCCCATTTCAAACATTTGCAAAATTGCTTCTGTAGTCATTTATTCTAGTTTGACAACTCCAAGTGACATCCTATGCATATTCCAATTTTCTATTTCAACATGGTTCCTTAAGGGCTATTTGTCTGGAGTGTAAAAATGGTAAAAGGGAATTTTTTATTTTATTTGTAAACATCAAACTCAGCTTTCAATATTTATTTTTCTTTTATAAACATTTCACATCTGCACAATATATTTCTTGATGACTTTATTATAAATTATTTTAACTTTTTTATTTAATTCATATAATATTTTTATAAAACCCCATCTGCTTGCTACTTATTTTTATATTTTAATATATATGGGACTATCTTTCCACAAATAAGCCAAATTTAGACTAAAATGTCTTTTTATCCTTTATATTCAGCTAATTGCAGCTAATTGTTTATGACTCTTTGTATATTTTTTAATTGATTCAAACCTTTTTGGGGTGAGTGGTTGGAACAATTATTGTTACACCAGGATATTTTTGCATTAATGACAATATTGGAAAATACATTTCTCCATGAACCACATTGTTAAAATGCAATATAAAAAAGATAGCGGAGATGTCTTTTAACAATCAGCAAATAAACAATAAAACCTGATTTTTGTTTTACAACTGCAGAGTAAATTAAACCATTCTCTGAAACCATATCAGTTTTTCATCATGGTATCGTTGATGAAAGGATGTGTAGTGGCTTAGTTTGAGTAAATATGGCAAGTCATTTAAACAATTATTCAATAGCCTTACTACTTTGTAAATCCCATTTAAAACAGCAGTAATATAATTTATCCAAGTCCAAATAGCATTCATACTAGTCTAAACTGAAAATAAAAAATAGCACAAGCAATTTTGCTGCTGGTCAAAATTACCTACTATTCAAAGAAGTGGTAATGCCCCCCTCAGAGTCTTACTCCACCCACGTATCAATTTTAAAAACTGCAACATTAGTAGGCGTTGCCTGGAGGACCGAGAGGGCGGAGCCGCAGCAGTGACGAAGACGATGGCTAACTAGACGATGCTAGCTCCCTTCACTCTGAGCAGTTATTAGAAGTGGAGGACGTTTCCCCCCCTCCTTACCGAGACACTCGCGAAGAAATGGACCAAATCTATTTGGAGGAGACAAGCGGACCTGAGCCTTATTGTTTTGAGCTTGTGAGTTGCCTGAAACTAGTGGAACCGACCCAACAGGACCAGCTCTGAATAGTAAGTAGCCGTTAGCCATAGCATTGGATTAGCTTCAAGGTTTGGCTCCATGGCCCTAGAGAGCTAGTGTTGGTGCCAAAAAGGTCAAGAGGTCATCTACAAAATGTATTGAGTTGAAGCTGAGTTCTTAGGTTGAAAGTGGTTTCTGGCTAGAGTTCGTGTGTTGTTCCAACATCAACTCCGAAGGAATTTCCTGTTTTGGTCTCTGCCTGCTTCCAGTAAAAGCTGGATGCTTATCTGACTTGCTAAAAACTTGATGTGATTCCAAAATGTTCCTGTGTCCCAGACAGGAAGTCTCCACTCACAGTTTCCACAGAGAGACGTGCTACCAAATATGGTCTGGTTCTCGCCTGTTTACTGTTGAATGTTCAAAGGCTGTGAGCTATAAGAAGGGGACCACTTGTGATGGTCTGGGTCTTTTTCGGCTGTCCTGAGATGTGAGCAGATAAATAAAAAGACCACGCTGTCTCGGCTGAAAACTCCCTCTTCGACTCTTTTTCTTTAAGAATAACAGAAAATGCCCACACATTGGCACCCCAGATGGGTGAACAGCGAGGGCTTTCCGTGGTGTCCCTTGGCTCCTGTCCAGTGGCTGAGGCCCGAACTAAGGGCCCAGGTGAGCATGTTTTTGTTCATTTTTGTGGCCTCTGTCACTGGGCAGGGGTGTCCTCCTGTTCTGATAATACTATAAATATCAGTTGGAGAGGGAATTCATGTCTGACAGTGGTGAAATATTCACACCGTGTGAACAGCTGTCATTTTGATGACGGACAAATTTTAAGTGTCAAATTAAAAGGTGGGACAGCAAATTGGAATAGAATTTTAACAGCTGATGGTTCTGAGAGGTCGACACTCTTTAATCCAGTCTGCTGACTAGGTAGAGCAGAGACGGGGATATTGAAGAAAAAGCGCTGAAGTTGTGAGAGATGATCTTTGCCTGAGTTCGGTGTTTCCCCGGGGATTGGTAAATTTAATAAGAGTTTGTGGCAAAGGAAAAAGAGAAAAAGAGGCCTGTATGAAAAAGTTGAAGTCTTTGTTGAGTTCGGCTTATCCTCGAGGAGTAACAAATTTAAGAGTGTTTGCAAAGCAGTAGTGAGGCCTGTGAGAAGACGTCTTGAGTTTGCAGCGAGAGGCTGCGTATGGCTCTCAGTGTGAGCACTAGGAGAGTGCAGAATGTAGAGCCGAGGTTTGGGAGCTCCGTGTGGGTGGTCAGCGCTGGATGATGTGTGAGTGTGAGGGCCTGATGCGGTACCAGGAAAATAAATAAATAAGATAAATAAGAGCTTTAAAAGTTGCAACTCGCATATGTAAAGTTCACTGCAGTGCTAAATTTAATGTTTGAAGTTACGCAAAATTCAAATTCTGCAATCCTGTTCTGATCAGTCTGAACAGAGTACCATAAGTTAATAAATAAAAGGTTTTAAAGTAACATATATATATATATATATATATATATATATATATATATATATATATATATATATATATATATGTAGTGGCCTGGAGATTAAAAGGGAGAAAACAAGGAAAGTTGTAAATGACAGCTTTATTTTAGAATATTTAGATATACATTTATTGAAAGACAGACAGCTGCTAAACAGTAAGATCAAAACAGATCTGTAGAAAATAAATATATAAACTGTTTCTCAGAGCGCTCTCAAAAAATTGCAATTTGACTTGCTCTAATGGTTGAATAAGACCTGCTTAACAGCATAGTAAGCATTAAGTTCTGAAAATTACCATTGCGGTGTTACACAAATTCTGTGCTTAGAAAACAAATACACAAATAAAAGCCGTTAAAGGAAGTCCTGTCAATTTGGTGTAAAGTAGGAAAAGTAAGTGCCAATTTGGGTCAGTTAAATTTAAATTAGGAGAAAACATAATAATAATAGTTCAGCTTACACAAAGATATTAAGAAAAGATAAGGTAAAACAAACGTTTATACATATATATATATATATATATATATATATATATATATATATATATATATATATATATATATAATGGGAATAAATAAGTGACGGACTGACTTACTTTTGTTTAAAAGACTGTGACAAACAGAAAAAAATGTTGTCTGTGCCTTTGTGAGTGAGTGGATGTGAGTGTTTCTTGCATGAGAAGTGAATGCTGCTTCTGGCTGGATCCTCTGTTGAATGACGCAGTGTTTAATAGAGAGAGTTGCTGGAAAAAACGGGGTGTACTCCAGGCTTTACCCGACTGAAAGACAATAGAAAAAGAACTTATAGTTAGTGCGATGACAAGAAAATCATTTAAAATATAAAAGTTGCATGGTCGTGTTTATACAAAGGAAGTATTTTATCAGCTTTTGGGCCGTGTTGTAACTGGAGCCTCTCTCTCTCTCTCTCTCTCTCTCTCTCTCTCTCTCTCTCTCTCTCTCTCTCTCTCTTTTTTTTTTTTCTTTTTTTCTCCTGCCTGCACACACACACATGGTGGAACCAAGGCTTGCTTGCTTTCTGTAACATGCAATTTTAAGCAATTTGTGACTTTAGAAAAGATATTTTCTGGTGTTTTGGGCGTACCGTAGGTTCGTGGTTGGTCTCCATGAGATCCTTCCTCTTGGACGGTCAGAGATGAAAATGACCGGAGTGTAGGCCTGGGGACCTGACTCCACCCACATTTACACACAAGACCTCTGCAGTCTAAAAATAGCACAGGGAGCTGCAGAATAGCAGCTCTGGACTGCTCAGGATCGTCTTTATGAAAACCATAAAATTAACAAATAATCAGTCAGGAAATAAAATATTTGTTAAATCTTGCTATAAAATAAAAATCCAATAATTGCCTTGCCTCAACTTTAAGAACCATTAACGTTAATGCCTGGATTTTGAGACGCTGAATAATGAAAAAACAGATAAACTATTATTTCCTGTAACCTGGCTAGAAACTGTACCAGGCTGTTCTGAATTAAAAACTGGTAGTTCTTTTCCCAAAATAAGATGGATAAAAATAAAAATGAAAAGAGGGATCTTGCATTTTGGGATAGATTGTACCTAATGATTAAAACCTGTGTAGAACTGATTTGATGATTAAGGAACAATTGTGCCCAGGAAGTAGTCTAGATTTACCTTTGAGTCAGTAAAGTCGACTAATTATTAGAAGCCATCGTTGATTTGTAAAAGAGACAGTTCTGTCATTTCAACCCAATCAACATATTTAAGGAAGACTTTTGCTGATAACTGTGGTGGCATGAGATTTACTGGGTCGGCCCGTCACAGAGGCGGACGCAAATGAAAGTTTCCTGGATCTGGCTCTACACAAACAGAGCAGGAAGTCCCCACCACAAGCTGTGAATTATAACATCTAGATGGGGCAGCACTACGAGATGGACACATTGGGACAGGCGCTTGTTTGCCCGGCTGCAGGTGGAACAAAGACAAAGGGGAGGAGCATGTGTGCCAACATGTGAACTTTAATCAATGACTGGGGTCATACTGAACTTACAAACAGATGCTCAAAGAGACTGTTTCCCGGTAGGGTCCACCCAGTGAAGTGTGTTTGCTGCAGTTAGGTAATGGAAAAAGCTTTTTGGCAACAATCAGTTGATTTGGTGAAATGTTAGAATTGTGAAAAATTTACTAAACTACTGCAGAACATAGTTAACTGAGGAAGTTATCCTTAAAAAATAGGATTAGTAACCTGGTCCAAATCACCATTGGATGTCAATATAATCTTTATTGTAAGTATGATTCGAGATTTGGAAAACCGCAAGTGTCAAGTTTCTCTATGTTTGCTCTATAGCCTATCCTAGCTTTTTATCCTAGCTTATATGATTAACAAAATTTAAATGAAATAGTGGTAAAGTAGATAACTCATTGCACAACAACTTCTCGGTATTCATCAGGTTTCTTAGTTGACTGAATGACTTTTCTTATTTCTGCAAATCGTAGGATACTCAGCTACAGCGGACATGCAGTAAAGCCTCATTTTCTTTAAAAAAAAATAGCGATTCATCAGCATCATCGCTTATTTTCAATGGTCAAGGAAACAGTGCCTATTTATAAGTCTAGGAGAACGCTTTAGGCTTCAACAGTTTTTTCTCCTTAACCACCAGTTTTGAAGTACGTTTGAGAGTACATCATCAATAAATTGAATAAAAACAACAATTAAATTAATAATTAGGCATTTAGCTGACTAAATGATTCATGGTACATCTCATCCGAGACAACAGTGTTGTTTTAGCTCCTTTGAGTTTCCCAACAGATCTAGCCAAACCTGATCCTATATTTTTCTATCAGCTGTAAGTTCTAACGTAGAAAATAATGTTACAAAATATTGAATAATTGTACCTCTCATTCGATAATAATTATGTTCACATTTTCTCATCTTGTGAAATCTTTAACATAACATTTTTAATTGGCCTTTTGCGGGAATGGCGTTGCGAGAACATTTGGATTTGGCTACAGCCGAAATTGGCTAAACTGAAATTTTGGTTTGACTTAAATTAGGTGTCACTGAAGGTAAACAAAGCTATATTCATGCTGCATGGGAATTGGAGTGTAGGAGCTAAAAGCAGTGTTCTGTGTACGTGCAAACTGACATCCTGTTTATCAGCCCAGCTGCTGCGTACGTGCAGCCTGACAGCGCCAGCAGCAGAGTATAACTGCTGTAGGAGGGATGAGAATGGGACGACAATTGGCTAAAGGAAAAAGTCGTTAAGTTTATCATCACAGGATGGCATGATAAAATAAATAAATAAATAAATAAAAATAAGAGAGAAAAAGGAAAATTAATTAAATGAAACGTAATAGTAATAAAACGTTAAATTGATCTAAATCTGTCATGGAATCACTGCCACTGGGAAAAGGAGTAGGTAAAAAGAGGATAGGGGAGTATTTCTTAGCACAAATCACGTTATTGATTTAGCAATGCAGCTTAATTTCAGATAGATGGAGAAGTAGCACAGAAACACACTTCTAAGTGAGGAAATAAGGAAAAACTGCTGATGACCAATGCCGTATACAAACAAACCTGTAACTGCAGTTTCGTTATTTATGAATTAACCTTAAGTAGTGAATTAATTTTTAGGATTTCTTGTGCTAGTGAGGTTCTTAAAGGAAAAAGGAATGAAAATAAGAAAGAAGGTAAGAAAGAACGGTAGTTTTGGCTCCTAGAGATTATGAATTCAATCCTGGTTAGGGAATAATATTTGCTTGTCACGTTTTCTGCCTTGAGGTGCATAATTGGGGTGAATAGTAAGGGACATTGGAAAACCTGAAATTATTTTGTTTAATTGATAGTAAAGTGGTTGTCCTAATTTCTAATTGGAGAGATCACACCGTAACATGAGTTCAGAACAGTAGTGATGGGAAGGTTTGTTGGATTAATCTGATCATACGCTTTAGGTCTTATTTTTTCTTTCCACTGATTTAGTGTTCGGTTAAGTGGCTCATTTAAACCAAGCGGAGACACAGACTTGAGAGAATAAGTAGTTTAGTTGTGCGTGTCCCGCTCTTGCAGTTTGAGCGTTTTCTGGAAATAATCTAGGTGTTTAAGAAGTGGAAGGAAACTCTCGATGTAATTGCTAACATGCATGCCTACTTAAATGAGGAATTTCACACTTTCGCTTAAGTCTGACATTTGCTTGGTGTGTGAGGGCACAGAGACGTGTATGGACTGTGTGCTTGACTGTGTTTGTTTTGTTTGTTTGTTCATTTATTTATATGGGCGTGGCCGAGCCTTGAGAAACATCAATGAAGCCATTGGACTATTCTGAGTAAATTAACCAATTCAAATTCAAATTCAGGATCCTGAAACAATTCGGTTATAACCTCTAATTGATGAAGACCATCTTAAGAATTCATTGCACAAGGCATCGTCAGTGTTACTGGAACTGTTTTTAAAAATCCATGCATGGTTGTATATTTTAGTTGAATAATTTATACTCATTGAATTATTGTTGTTTGCTTTATGTTTTAATTTCTTTGCAATTTTTTCTCTGTGACACAGGTGGAGATGCTGGTGGTGAAGTGGATCCCACTCATTTTTTCTCCCACACACATTCTTGCTCTCTCTCTATCTCTCTCTGTGTGTGTATGTGCATGTGTATGTGTTTGTGTGTCCGTGGGTGTCCATGTCATGATGTCACTGTACCTTTAATTGCGCTTGCTGTTTGTAACTGTATGTGTCTGATGTTGAAGGTATCAGAGGCTAGGGTCAGTAAGAGTTAGGACATTTTTTGTGCATAACCATTAATCCCTAGGCGATCGGCTCGGGGGACGTCTGGTCCGGCCGGAGTGCGAGTCTTCCTGGTGTTGCACGGTGACCAAGGGTGAGGATGGATAAAGATGAAGATTGGACTCTCATGGACTCACGTCGATACCTGAGATGAAAGATAAAGGATAGTGTTGCTTCTCACCTTACTGGGACTAGATTAACTAACTTAAGAAGACATTTGCTGAGTTTTGTGACGGTTCTTGTCTTGAATGCTGCTAGGAACCACCCCTGATTAATTACAATGGGGTTTCTGCTGGAGGAGGTGAAGAGGATAACCGATGGACAAGCATAACAAGAGGAAAAAGTCATCACCACAATGTATTATCGTTTTATAGGCCATCTGACGACCGCAACACCAATAGAGGAATTGTTCACAATGAAAGATGAGTAAAATGCAACTACTCTACACCCTAGACTGGTTTCCATACCTGCATTCACGTCATTATAGTCACATCTGTAGATGCAAGGACTTGACTAGTCTCACTAACCATACAATGACGTTGTCACTTAGCTGATGTTTAATTACTTTTGTTCCAGTTTTACAACTTTGATTGTTTTATTTGTCCGAGGGGAGGTTATAGGTTTAAGGTGTACGTAAAGCTTTTGCATGGGCCGGAGGGGCCAGGCAGATCTGGGGTAATAAAGAGATAAATCCTAACAGAATATAGCATGTGTGTATTCCTGGTAAACTACCAATAATGGGCCCAGAACTAACATGTTTCTGGATAAGTGCTTAGAGCACATTAATGACAATGTTATAGATCATAATGCTGCGGATTAATTCCTCGTATGCTGGGGATTCAGAACTACTGATGATAGGTGACTCAACATGTGAGTTTACCGTATATTCTTAGGTTTCACATCATTTTTGTTCCCGTTTGTGTCTAAGTTCTTTAACTTAATGTGATGACATAACCAAGTCTGTTAGTACTCCATTTCAGGTGGGACAGATCTTCTGGTGGGTGCTGGATGTCACGTTTTGACTAGTGTTTTCTTATAGTGATGGGTTAGCATGTGCTCATTTTTGAGGGCGTGTGGATGTTGCATGAAGGGTTTGACGGTGGTTTTGAAGGTTGAGGAACAGAATAGGTGATTCTGGTTGAGTTTAGGTCAAATTGGCTGGATGACTTTTAAATTTGGTTTTAAGGACTTATTTCTGGTCGTTTTACCGAGCGGCCATTTACATTGCTCCTAGTTATCAAGACAATCAGGTGAGTTTTGCTTTTACCATTAGCCCGTAGATGTTTGAGTGAATCATTGCATGCCGTGCTGGCAAACTAGCTCTTTAATTTAGGATAGTGAGTAGTATAGAAAGGGGGTGTGAATGTGGGGATGGATGCTTTGTCTATGGGTCTAATATTTAGAAAGTTTTTGTGGTAATAGGTTTATAGG